GAAACCTACACGAGTTTTCACCTGTGGTCACTAACAGTATAATTTGGAAGCACTGTTTTGTTCACCAACAATATTTTATATTTTTTGGAATTTGAGATATTAGTTTGTGTCACCATTATTATGGTTATTTTTTCACTTCACAATAGGCACGTGTGATTTAATTATATGTATGTGTATTTTTGGTTCATGCACATACATATAGATATGGTTTTTTGTGTTTTTTTGTGTTTTTACATTTTTTGAGTGATTTATTTGATTGTTGTTATTATCAGCAAGCACGCATAGATTTGCATTGTTAATATTGTTAACATTGTCACATTTTTTGATTTGATATTTTGGGATCCCACATTCACAATTTGGTTGATTTGAATGTAGCGCAGCATTCCTTATGTTTTATATGTCCAACAAATCTGATTTCTTTTTATGAGGAGGTGAGCAAAACCTTGGACAGAGGGGTGGCGGTGGACGTGGTATACTTGGATTTTGCAAAAGTGTTTGACACAGTTCCCCACACACGGTTAATGTGTAAGGTAAAGTCTACGGGTTTGGAAAAATCTGTATGTAAATGGATAGAAAACTGGCTAAAAGATTGTATTCAGAGAGTAGTGGTTAATGATTCATACTCTGAATGGGTCTAGGGTTTTCAGTGGCGTACCCCAAGGTTCAATGTTGGGACCCTTACTTTTTAATATATTTATAAACAATATAGGATCTGGGGTTAAAAATACAATTTCAGTCTTTGCAGATGACACTAAGCTGTGTAGTGGAATAACATCCTTACAGGATGTCTTCATCTTACAAGCCGACCTCAATGCACTGTTTAATTGGGCAACTATGTGGCAAATTTAATGTTGATAAATGTAAGGTTATGCACTTGGGGGCTAAGAATATGCATGCATCATACATACTAGGGGGGTATAACTGGGGGAATCAATGTTGGAGAAGGATTTGGGAGTTCTGGTAGATCACAAGCTTAATGATCTACTAACTGCTAAAACCAATGGCCACTACTCTGTACTCTTACTACTTGACCTTTCTGTGGCTTTTGATACGGTTGACCATCCCCTCCTCCTCAAAAACCTCCACTCTTTTGGCCTCAGAGACTCTGCTCTCTCCTGGTTCTCCTCCTACCTATCGCAGCACTCCTTCAGTGTTACCTATAACTCTGCCTCCTCTTCACTCCCTCTTTCTGTAGGGGTCCCTCAAGGTTTTGTCCTTGGACCCCTTCTCTTCTCCATCTACACCTCCTCCCTTGGTCACTTGATAAACTCCCATGGCTTTAAGTACCATCTCTATGCTGATGACACACAAATCTATCTTTCTACCCCTCACCTCACCCCTTCAGTCTCCACTCGCATTACTAACCTACTAAGTGACATATCGGCATGGATGTCACTCCACTTCCTCAAATTCAATCTTTCCAAAACTGAGCTCTTGGTATTCCCCCCAGCCCATGCCCCCTCCCCTGACTTCTCCATCAAAATCAATAACACAATCATCAGTCCCTCCCCTCATGCCAGGGTACTAGGTGTAATCCTAGACTCCCATCTGTCCTTTCAGCCCCAAATCCAATCACTGTCCAAATCTTGTAGACTTCACCTCCGCAACATCTCCAAGATACGCCCGTTCCTAACCTCGGAAACCACTAAGCAACTTATTCACTCCCTTGTTATATCTCGCCTTGACTATTGTAACTCCATCCTCATTGGCCTACCTAATCGCAGGCCTTCCCCTCTTCAGTCTATCATGAATGCTGCTGCCAGACTCATCCACCTTACTAACCGTTCTGTATCTGGCACCCGTATGCCAATCCCTCCACTGGCTTCCCATTGCCCAACGGATAAAATTCAAAACACTAACAATAATGTATAAAGCCATTTATACCTCTGCCCCAAATTACATCACTGATCTTGTCTGTAAATATCACCCAAACCGTACTCTCCGCTCCTCGCAAGACCTCCTACTCTCTAGCTCCCTTGTCTCCTCCTCCCATGCTTGACTCCAGGACTTGTCCAGAGCTTCCCCCTTCCACTGGAACTCTCTACCCCAATTTATCAGACTATCGCCTACTCTGCTCACTTTTAGGTGATCTCTGAAAACCTATCACTTCAGGTAAGCCTATCCTGCCCTCAGCTAATACTGGAGTCTTCTACTCTTCCAACCAGTCCACCCCCACAGTTACTACCTTTTGTACCACTAGCCCCTCCCTCCTAGATTGTAAGATCCAAGAAGCAGGGCCCTCAAATCCCTCTTGTATTGAACTGTATTGTTGCTGTATTGTCTCCTGTTATATTGTAAAGCTCTGAGCAAACTGTTGGCGCTATATAAATCCTGTATAATAATAATAGTGGCATGCAATGCCAAGCTGCGGTTTCTAAAACAAGCAAAATCCTCTCTTGTATTAAATGAGGTATAGACTCCAGAGAGAGATATATCATATTACCCCAGTACAAATCATTAGTAAAACCTCATCTGGAATATGCAGTTCAGTTTTGGGTACCAATTCACAAAAAGAATATTGGGGAACTGGAGAAAGTGCAGAAAAGGGCAACCAAACTGATAAGAGGCATGGAGGAGCTCAGCTATGAGGAAAGATTAGAGGAACTGAAAATTTGTGTAGAGCTATTCACCCTGAGGTCATCACAGAGGACAAGGGGGCACTCTTTATGTCTGGAGGAAAAGAAATGTAATCTCCAAACATGGAAAGGTTTCTTCACAGTGAGAGCTGTGAAAATGTGGAATAGACTCCCTCAAGAGTTGGTTCTGGCCAGCTCAGTGGATTGCTTTAAAAAAGGCCTGGATTCTTTCTTGGATACACAGAATATAACTGGATACTAATATTTATAGGTAAAGTTGATCCAGGGAATATCTGATTACCTCTCGGGGGATCAGGAAGGAATTTTTTCCCCCTGCAGGAGCAACTTGGATCATGCTTTGCTGGGTTTTTTTTTTTGCCTTGCTCTGGATCCACTGTGGGTATAGAATTATAACTTTTTTTAATGGTTGAACTGGATGGATTTTTGTCTTTTTTCAGCCAGATTAACTATGTAACTATGTATATCTGCCATCTGTTTATTCTATAGTCTGGAGTAAGGTACATGGCACATGTCCCTCCCCTCTTTCCTCTGTGATCTCTTTATTGCTGGCTAAAACACTGGAGCCTGATAGATTGGGCGGGGTTATTTGCGCACACTAAGGGGGGGGGGGGTTCCCAGCCAAGCTTTTGCCAATGTTCAATCACCTGAAGTAGTGACATTAAACTCATGATCTAAGAATCAATTCCTGTATCCTGTACTGTAATCCAAGATATAAAATTTAGAGGTGCGTCAAAATTCCTAATTTTATTTTTCACTGGCACTGAAACCTACACACTGGGATCTAGCTGGCACTAGTTCTCAGGACCAAAAAAACAACATACCACTGTTTTTATTTAAATAAGAACAGTCATACTGGCTTTCTGCTTGTCGGTGATGCACAGTATCTTGCAGATCTTCTATACTCACTTCCAGTCTACAAGGGTTGGTCTAAAGCTGAGCATGAACAGAGCGAGTTTTGGCCAGTTCCCAATTAACCATACCAAATTTGAGCAGTGGGTATCCATTTCAGCTTCCTCCTGCCCAACTTCCTTTAATCTCAAAGTCAAAGAAGTCGCATGGGAAATTGTCAGCTGAATAATGACTGCATCCAAACAGATGTAACCACTGATTGGGTTCTGACACCATGTACTTTCTTACCCACTTACTAATACTAGCAGAATAGGAAGTAAAAATAGTCAATGTTAATTGAGAGAGTGAATTTCTGCTTTTGAGGGGTATATTTATAGAAAAAAAAATTCAATGTGTGAATTCATCAAGCATTTACACAGCTGTCACACACAATTGCGGCAGCTCCACCTTGTGGCATTTTCTTAAATTACTTCAATCAGAAAAATACTACAATATGGGCACTAGATGGAGCTGACAATCATAGGAAATAAACATATGACGCATTTTACGGTAAATATTCATGATGGCTGTGCAAAAGCTTGAACCATTCACACAGCATTTTGATTTATAATTAATAGACCCCTAAGTGTTTCAGCAACTTCCAATGTATTCTTCATAATGTAAAAAAAAAATCCAACGAGGAGAGCAGGACCTATGATAGCAGCCACAGCGAGAGCCCCAGAGAGAGATCTATAACTATTTTTGGTGATTTAAATTTTCTAGCATCTACCAAAACATTTAAAATTGAGGTTGAATAGATTAACCCTTTAATTTACCACTGAAAAGACAACACTAAAGATGTCTGAATCATACCCAGAATAAATTATTTTAAAATAAAGTGTTTTTCCCTTTTATTTCAAGTCATTGTAAAATATGAGTTAGTGTTAAAACAATCTAATTAAAAACAAATCCATCTGTGAAGGAAAGAGGTTTGCAGCAGCAATGTCCTTGTTTTCTAGAACTCATAACTACATCTTCTTCAGTCCATTTTACACACTCGGCATAGAAGATACTCCTTGTGCCAGAAACACTGCTATCGACATCCATTTGTCCAGTCAGCTGGCTGTTAGATAAGCGGCCTATGTAGTGTTTGCCATACCTCCCATCTCCAGTCATCAGTAGTGAACATCTTCACAGCTAGGCCTCCTCCTTAAATCTTTCTAAAAATCTTTCTGGTAGACTCCCCATGGTGCCCCCCTTTTGGAAGTCAGTTGGAAGGTCCAAAGAACAATCTTAAGGGAATTATAGAACAAGCCTTCTTAGGGGGTAAAATGAACAAGAAAGTAATACAAAAAAATTAGAAAATGAAAGGCAGCGTACAGTCTGGAGTAAATTTCCCTGGCAGCACAGGAGGAGAAGAGGGTTTAATAACAAGTAAGGGGAATCTGAATGGGTTGCTGCACCCAAGTCTCCTTGCCAAAAAGGTTAAGAGCAGAATGGCTCAGTCTTTATTTTTTTGCTTGTGTTAGTCACCATTGTAGGGTGGAGAGGAGTGAGGAGAACAGGAGGAGTCATCTAGGATACAGGGTCTGTTCGACAATGTGTATTGGTCTCTTCTTGGGATGCACTGATGAAGGATGTTCGCATGCTAGGAGAGTACTGGTGGACCCAACACCAGTGAGTGCAGAATAAAAAAAGAAAAGCAACAGATTATAATTTAGTAAACATTGTCATAAAATGCATATTTGTATATTTACGTAAATAAAGACTGCAATCACTAAGGGATTATTGACACCATGTCCGTTGGGGGTGCGTTTTACTGTACACTAAGAAAACACCCCTGCACATGTATGGAGTGAACATTGCTTTCTTTGTGCCCTTTTTACACCATACATGTGTAATGGTGTGCAGAAAAATGCAGCTCAATATACATGGAGTGAACAAGCCCTAACCAGTTGAAAATATTAAAGTCTAGTCTGCCAACAAAATGTTTTATTTTTATTTGTGTTTTTGCATCTATTAGTGTTTCAAAGTAATAGGTTTGCCCTGCTCTGAAGGCTGTAGCCTTTTCTAAGGGTTCATACACTTGACTAGTTATAGGCATTTTTTATGCCTAGCATAAATTTCCCTGTGCTTTCCCACATCAAAAAAGCAGCAATTGCTTCAAACAGCTTGCAATACAAGTGAATGGCTGTATGCATTGGTATTTACTGTAATCATGTATGCACCTCCAACAAATTCCTGAAGGTAGAATTTTGGAATACATCAGATGTGAATGTGCTGGAAAACACCAATGCGAAGAAGCACAGGCATTTACAAGAGTATGCAAACATAATAATAAATTAAAGGGCATATATTCTTTTCACTTGTTTGGTAGGCAGTGAAAGGCATGTCCAGCTCCCTAGGCATTGAAAAGCACAGGAAGAGTTTTGCTAAGTATAAATGCCCAAAACTGTTCATTTGTATGAGTCCTAAACAGGGGCGGATTGACCATTGGGTCCGGGGTCAGTGGGGGGCCCCATGAGATGCCCCTGGTACCTTTCTCATAGGCTTTTTGAGTTTGGGCAAGGACACAGGGGCCCCATAATCCCCTATTGCCCGGGGGCCCCATGAGTTGTCAGTCCGCCCCGGTCCTAAAACTGCTTTTCTTAACTTTACCCGCTGACACATCAGAACTGAGACTGAACTGCTATTTTTGCCCTTCCCCCAACCCAATATTGGCAACATGATAATGGCAGAGCTTTAGACAGAAAAGATTACAGACCCTGTCACCAGGTCATTAATTTCAACAACATCTTCAAATAAATTGTATGCACATCATCTTGGATGTAACGTCTGCAGCCCCAGCAGACTCAGAGCTCTAACTCTATCACATATACACAGTATATATCAATAGACAATAGAGTGGCACACTGTAGCAGTCTTTTTCAATGTTTTTAACACAGAAAAATAATTTCACTGAGAATAATTGTCATTTCTCAGAGAACCCCTGCTTTATTTTTACAACTATTTTCACACAGGAGCAAGTACTAGCATGCGGTAAGAATCAGGGTCAAGATTAAAGAAACAGAGCACATGACCACACAGGCAAACACTGAGGCAATGTGGAAGGCCAGAAGAGGGGCTTAATACCCTCCCAGTAGCCTGCATCAGGAGAGAACTAATTGCATGGATCCATTGGCTACTGGGAGACAGCAGCTGGTTGAGACTGGGAGTACACCCTCAGATGAGGGAACCACAATGCATCCAGCAGGTAATCCAGTTCCTGACACCAAGTACACTAATTAAATATATATACAGAAGTTGTTTTTCCTGCCTGGCAGGACAAGCAGCTTTGCTGTAGTTCCAGAAGACTTACAGGTCTTGTCCCTTCACCATTTCTCAGTCAGAAAGGAGAAGCAGCAGAGTAAGCTCTTCTGTGCACACCTGCATATTAACCAATAGACTTGAATGAATTGTTGTTCCTGCAGTGTGGGTATGTCCCATACAAGTCTATGGCACATTCGTACATAAGCACCAGTAGCCCAGCACTATATTTTTACAAGTCAGGAGATACATGATGCAGAAGGTCGCTGTTGGAGTAGATAATTGAGTACCTGTGGAAAGATGATTTAACTTAAGGTAGTAGGCTAGAGGAGGGTTGGGGGAGATGGGGGGGGGGGGTATATAATTAATGAGCATATACTTTAATTATGTACTTATGAAAACAGAGTTGCATTAATTTATGTTTGTTATATCTGATTGAAGTTAAGCTTAAAGGATAACTTAAAGATCAGTGATCATGTCTGCAGGGTCACTAGTATAAGGTTGGGACAAACAATCCAGATGGTCTAGGACAGCAATGGGCAAACTACGGCCCGGCGGACCTTTTAATCCGGCCCGCGGAGCTAGGCTCCCGCTAGGCTCTTCTCACAGTCCGCCCTGAAGACCGGTGTAGCATGAAAATCTGTCTCCTATGAGGATCTGTCCCCCTCGACGTATCTGCGCATGTGCCGGAGATCGCCGATCGGCTGCTAATGCCTGAAACTGGCACATGCGCAGATACGTCGAGGGGGACAGATCCTCATAGGAGACAGATTTTCATGCTACACCGGAACGGCGAGAGGAACGCGCGGAGCAAAGGTAAGTGAATTGACACAGGGGGGACTTGGGGACTTAATATGGGGGATGAAATAATGTGGGGAATGAATTACTATAGGGGGGATGAATTACTATGGGGGATGAATTACTATATGGGGGATGAATTACTATGGGGGATGAATTACTATATGGGGGATGAATTACTATGGGGGATGAATTACTATGGGGGATGAATTACTATATGGGGGATGAATTACTATATGGGGGATGAAATACTATATTGGGGATGAATTACTATGGGGGATGAATTACTATATGGGGGATGAATTACTATATGGGGGATGAATTACTATGGGGGATGAATTACTATAGGGGGGATGAATTACTATGGGGGATGAATTACTATGGGGGATGAATTACTATATGGGGGATGAATTACTATGGGGGATGAAATTACTATATGGGGGATTAATTACTATATGGGGGGATGATGAATTACTATGGGGGATGAATTACTATGGGGATGAATTACTATGGGGGATGAATTACTATATGGGGGTGAATTACTATGGGGGATGAATTACTATATGGGGGATAAATTACTATATGGGGGATGAATTACTATGGGGGATGAATTACTATATGGGGGATGAATTACTATATGGGGGATGAATTACTATATGGGGGATGAATTACTATGGGGGATGAATTACTATATGGGGGATGAATTACTATGGGGGATGAATTACTATGGGGGATGAATTACTATATGGGGGATGAATTACTATGGGGGATGAATTACGATGGGGGATGAATTACTATAGGGGGGATGAATTACTATGGGGGATGAATTACTATATGGGGGATTAATTACTATATGGGGGATGAATTACTATGGGGGATGAATTACTATATGGGGGATGAATTACTATATGGGGGATGAATTACTATAGGGGGGATGAATTACTATATGGGGGATGAATTACTATATGGGGGATGAATTACTATGGGGGATGAATTACTATATGGGGGATGAATTACTATGGGGGATGAATTACTATGGGGGATGAATTACTATATGGGGGATGAATTACTATGGGGGATGAATTACGATGGGGGATGAATTACTATAGGGGGGATGAATTACTATGGGGGATGAATTACTATATGGGGGATTAATTACTATGGGGGATTAATTACTATGGGGGATGAATTACTATATGGGGGATGAATTACTATATGGGGGATGAATTACTATGGGGGATGAATTACTATATGGGGGATGAATTACTATGGGGGATGAATTACTATGGGGGATGAATTAATATATGGGGGGTGAATTACTATATGGGGGATGAATTACTATATGGGGGATGAATTACTATGCGGGATTAATTACTATGCTTACTATGGGGGAATATTACTATACTTACTATGGATGACACATATACATCATTCATCTACTCTTGGTCCGGCCCCGGGTCCAATATATGAACCCATTGCGGCCCTCAAGTCAAAAAGTTTGCCCACCCCTGGTCTAGGAGTTGGTCTTGGACTGGGGATATCTGTTGCTATGCTTCTAGTGGTTTGTTTCTAAAATATGTTTCAGTGGTAGTAAATAGGGTTGCTGAATTTTTGTGGCCCTACAGTATAAAACCAAGGAGATTAGAATGGGCTTTCTGGCAACCACTCTCAAACAGAATTTCACCTGGCTGGATAGCTAGGTATTATTTAAAAAAGGAAGTGCCTGCCTTTTATCAGTTTGGTTGCCCTTCTCTGAACTTTCTCCAGTTCTCTGATATCCTTTTTGTGATCTAGCGCCCACAATAGAACTGCATATTCCAGATGAGGCATTACTAATGATTTGTAGAGAGGCAAAATTATGTCTCTCTCTCTCTCGTATTCTGGCATTGCATGATATTATTAAATCTATGATCTACCAGAACATCCAGATCTTTCTCAACCATTGACTCCCTAAGCTGTTCTTCTCCTAGAATGTATGACCCATGCATGTTTTTTGCCCCCCAGGTGCATAACTTTATATTATCCACCCCTAAACCTCATCTGCCACATAGTTATCCAATTAAATAGTGCATCAAGTCTGTTTGTAAGTTGGAGACATCTGTAATGACGTTTTTCCATTACATAGCTGAACATAGCCCCTTTCTATTTTTCATCCCGAAGGGGATTAAAAATAAAAAGGGGGAGAGAGCAGTTTTAAGATCACTTTGATATATCCTGGAATTCTGTTTTAAACTTAACGGTCTGTACTTACTTGGTAAATACTTTGATCCAATTTTTAAGTCAATGGAAAGTCCTAAAATGTATTGCCACTGTGTGGAACAATGTGTGTGGTCCTAACTGGAGCAAAACCCTATTATTAAGGTAGGTTCTGCTAACATGTTTTATGGCTCAGTCTACTGTGCATCCAGAAAGTATTCACAGCGCTTAACTTTTACTACATTTTGTTATGTTACAGCCTTATTCCAAAATGGATTAAATTCATTTTTTTTCCTTAACATTCTACAAACAATACCCCATAATGACAATGTGAAAGAAGTTTGTTTTGAATTCTTTGC